CCCCGCTATCTTCCCATGGGAGTGTTTTAGGAAGAACTCCCATAACCTAAAGGCTGGCTTTGTACAGAACTGTGATTTTCAGGTACTAGAACAACCCAGTTTGACTAACTTTTCTGTAATTTCAAAATTAAAAGGTAACAGGCATGAGATTTTGAAAATATCTTCACAAAACATATCTTAAAAATAACAACTCCCCTGCTGGCAATAGAAATATTTGATCTACATTTTCATAATTCTCCCTAGAACCATTCCATCATGTGGAAACCCATTGCCCAGGCATGGACAGTACACATTCCTTTCTCACTCTTACTGCTGAACAAGTGACTAAATGACTATGGAAATGAGTAGCAATGATGAAGCAAGTGTAACACACGATCTGCACACTCCCTCAAGTCTGAAAATTCCAATGTGATCCCCTACATTCAAATTAGCTCTATTTCAGTCACAGTTACAGATGGTAACTCAGTATATCTAAGTTTAATTAGTAGAGCCTCAATCATTAACCCTGATTTCCCCACTCCAAATGCAAGGGACCAATATGGAGTCTGAGAGAGTTAGGTACTGGGAAATGGAGAGACAGTTTTCTGTAAGCATGTAGCCCCTGGTAAGTTGACTACTCTCCAGTAGAAGACCACACATTCAGGTACATTTGGTCAATATAAGTTGGTCTTGATGGAAAAAAAATTCACACACACACACACACACACACACACACACACACATACACACACACACACACAAGGTTGTATGTGTAGGAAAGGGGATTGGACATGGAAAGATTTGGGAGGTGGGGTGAATATTATCAAAGCATGTTGTATGAAACTCTCACAGGATTAATTAATTTCCTTTACTCTTTTTAACTAAATTATACATTTCCAAGTTGAAATTTCCATCATATTCATATTAACTGAGTTTGTATTGTAAATATAGTAATTGAAATAAAATTCTATATTGATAGATATAGTTATGATCATTCTTATCAAAACTTTCCAGTCAATATACTTTAGGATACATGGTAAACTAACAAAAAGAAAGAAAAAGCACAGGGATCCAACTTCTCAGGAAAACATTCAACTCCCATTTTCCTGAGTAGGCACTAGCTGGAAGTGGATGCTTAACTAAAGCTACCAGACTAATGAGGTGTTTCTCTCTCCTCTCAGGGGCTGACGTTATCAACTTTGATGGTCATGTTGTGTTACCCTACCGATTCAGAAACAAGAAGATGAAAACACTCAAAGATGTCATTGCTTTGAAATTCAAGACCTCGGAAAGTGAAGGAGTAATCTTGCATGGTGAAGGCCAGCAAGGGGATTATATTACTTTGGAATTGAAAAAAGCCAAGCTGGTCCTCAGTTTAAATCTAGGTTTGTTGTGATTCTCTATTATCTTTTTCCATCTTTAAAATATTTATAATGAAGGGGATGAAGAGATGACTCAGCATTTGAGAGCACTGGCTGCTCTTGCAGAGGACTCAGTTACAATTCCCAGCAATACATAATAGCTCACAAGTCTCATTCCTGGAATTCCAGTTCCAGGGGACCTGATGACATCTTTTGATCTTCATGGGCACCAGGCATGTACATGGTACACATGCATACATGTAGTCAAAGCACTAATACATATAAAATAAATAAATCCAAAGCATTTTAAATGTTACATAATCATTGAAATTATAATTCTAAGAGCTCACATTATATTGTCAATTATTTTTCATCTATAGTGGCAGATTATTTGTATACCTATTTCTGTTAGTCACCTTTTAATCACTGTGACAACATACCTAAAAAAATTACTTAAAAGAGGAAAGACTATTTTGATTCAGGTTTCAGATGATTCAATCTATAGTCACTGGACCCATACCTATGGTCTTTTGTTGAGGTAGAACGTGATGGAAGAAGTGCAGGGTGGAACATGTGTGCTTATGGGGGCCAAGAAACAGAGAGAGTAGAATAAGTTAGAAACAAGATAGACACTTCAGTGGCCCACTTTTTGTGACCTATTTCTTTCAACCAAGATCTACTCCTACTGCCTGTCACCCCTCAATATCACTACGAAATCATTATTTCAATGGTGAATTGACTGGTGCATCTATGAGGTTAAAGCAATCATCATCCAATCATTTTTCTAAACCTCATTAGCTGTCACCAAGGCTTTAACCAGCAACCCTTTGGGGAACACTTTAGATTCAACCCATAACATTACTCATTCAACAAAATGTTTGTTGAAGCACTTACACTATGTTCAGTATTATAGTAGTTGGTAGCATATATCAAAGAACAGAAAGACATTGTCTCATTAAGTTTGTGAACCACTCCAGTGAAATAAAAGTAAATGACAAGAAATTATGAGTGATAGAAGGAAATCAGTTTAGTACGTATGTATTATACTGAGCCCAAGTTTAAAAGCCTTTTTAAGAAGCCATAGGACCAATGTCAGAATGTATGAAAAACAAAAGCTACAATGTTCAAGACAAGATCTAAGTGGTGGAAAAAAAAAAAAACAGGGGAGAGAAGACTGCACAGGGAGGGACCATTGCAGACAGAGAGCTCGAATGCTTATGGAACAAAAAGCAAACTGTAGTGCATACATTCAGTGAATTTCAGAAAACGAGAGGAAGTCCAGGAAACGGAGACTGTTCAGGTTCTGTAGGATGCTACAGGTTCTGCATATCAAAAATTAACAGCTCCATGATGCTGACTTGGTAGGTGCACTGAGACTCTCATGGGAAGGACTGCCTAAGTCATCATGAGAGTTAAAGAAGACATCTTCATGGCTGGGGAGAGATGGCGCTGGCATCCAAGGAAAATTACCAGGGGAGATAAAGAGAAATGTATCCGAGAAATTATATTAGTGGTAAATTCAGCATAATCCGTGATGAGTTGTGTATGAAGCAAAAAGAAAAGAATAGGAATAAAGAATAATTCCCAGGATTTAGGCTCAGGCACTAAATGAATAGTTTGTGTCATTTTCAGAAATAGAAAATAAAAAAGGGCAGAAGGAATTGCAGGGATCAGTTGGGAGACAGCACTTTTGAGCTGCCTATTACATAAACAAAAGGTGTTTATATGGGGTCCATTGTAACATATCCGGGACAATGCACTATGGGGGCAACTAAACAGGAAGTGGAGAGTAGAGAAGTAAAGAGTTTGTAGTACCCCAGAAACCAAGGAAAGTGAAGTGACCAGTGCTATGTAACTCACCTCAGATGTCAGCTGGCAGGGAGACAGACAGGTGAACACTGGCTCTGTCCATATGGAGGTTACTGCTTACTCACTCTCTGAGGAATGGAGAGAACACTCTTATTGACTTATTTTATAAGTGGAGAAAGAGTAAAAGTTGTGGAAATAATATTTTAATTTGATCAGACTACTAAAGGAAGCAGAGGAATGAGATATTAGCGGGAGTTGAGACAACCCAAGGGGTTGTTACCTTGCGTGATTTTCCCACTACTTTTAAGTAAACAGAAACCGTGTCTGTTGGCTTGCTGATAACATAACTGAGACTCATATGGTGCCTAAGAAAATGTTCACAGCATTGGCAGTGACATTCAGAATCCCAGATTGACAAGACATTGACACTTCTTTCTCTTGTTTGGCTGTGTTCTGGGTTCTAGATAGTAGAACTCAAAGGCAACATGCAGTTCATGGATTTTAGTTTCTCTGTTGTAATAAGAATTCTACAAAAATAATAACTTAACAATAAATGAATGAACACACAACCCTCAAATAAATCAGTGTAAAGTAACTCCTCCACCATGGATAAAAGACTTGAAATAGCTTTTGGAAAAAAACAATGGAAAAGAAATTACTCTCATCACTGTTAGCGGAAGAAAATTTCCCTCAGCTTCCTAATGATGGCAGATGAACCTAATGTGTAACTGTTTTAGAATGTCTTTGAGTTGATATTTACATAGGAGCTAAGTGCTGGTAGTCAGAGCCTGTGAGATTTTCTATGGTAAAAAGTGGTAATAAGTCGAGGCCAGCCTGGTCTACAAAGTGAGTTGCAGGAAAGGCACAAAGCTACACAGAGAAACCCTGTCTCGAAAAAACAAAAAAACAAAACAACAACAACAACAAAAGAGTTCTACATTTCAGGTAATAATGGTATTGCAAGGCTCAATATAGTAATTCAACTCACTTGTATCCATCCCTGGGTATAGATCAAAAGACATGAAAATCCTGTCATTGGAAAAGACTGGGAGTGCAGAAACGTAATGTGTTGTCCAGAGTCAGGTGAAGGACAATGTTCTCTTAATTTTGCAGTGAGCTGCAGTGGGTGTGCTCTTTTATCCAGTGAGGCAGCAGCTTTGCAGCACAGTAAGAAGCAACTAGAATATTCAAGAAACATAACTAATATATCAAAGACTTCACATTAAATATATATATATACCTGAATATGTATACAGCATACATATGAATAATTAAATGGTTGTATATGGAAAAACATCTAGAAGGAAATAGATCAAACTATTTTTAGTGGAGAAAATAATTTGCATTTCACTTTACTTGTTTATTCTTCATAATATTCTTCATCTGTAATCATGAACAAGCATTTATTTCGAGACTTGTGAGGAGGCTAGAAATTATTTGTAGCACGTGACCCTGTAGAATGGAAGGGGAAGGTTCAGTGGTGGAATCAGAGCCCCAACCAAATAAAAGCATTTGTGAAATATCCATCTATGTGAACCTGTGTGTATATACAACCATAGTTGAGGTGTGTCTAAAGACGCTATTTTACTTTATTTTTTTGGATTTATTTCACACGTGCACACGGAGAGGAACACCTACATGTCACAGTGAGTGTGTGAAGGTCAGAGGAGAGCCTGCAGGAGTCAAACTTCTACAGTGTGGCTCCCTGGAATCCGACTCCCAGTGTCAGCTGGACACCAAGTGCCTTTACTCACTGACCTACTTTCCAATCCAAGATATTTTTTTTCAGAGCTGTTTTCATCTTACATTTCTCTAATGAAACATGTAGAGTAACCTTTGAAAATCAACTGTGGTTTATAGAGATGTGACATTACCTTTGTGAAACACGTTGTTCTATGACCTCACCAAAAAGAGTCATTACCATTTTACTGGAAAGTAGTTCACTTCCAAAGTTTTATTGACTGACTGGGATTTATGATAGCAGTAGAAATATATCTACTCAAACACCTACTGCCACTCTGTACTGCCATCCATCAATAGCAGGACTGTCCTGCTTCTCAGACACTTTGTATGTGTGTTTCCAGAAACAGAACAGCCTTGCTATTTATACTTATTCCTTTTTTATTTCTCCTCCTTTCTGGTCTCCTACCATAGAGAGGAGCAGATGCACACACACACACACACACACACACACACACACACACACACACACACACACACACTTTTCATTGTCACCCATACACTTTTGCTTTCATCCCCATACATGAAGAAACAAGGATTACTCTCTCCATTTTGTATTCAGCAACCAGACTCAGAGAAGTTACCAGTTTGTCCCCATCTAAACATCAAACTAATGTGGTGGCCCCATCAGATCCCAGGCCCTCTGGCACCTAAGCCCATGTGATACTGACCTGATAACTCATTCACCCTCCAAATCTTAGCAGAATTCACAACACTGTCCAAAATGTTTGCATTTTCTTTTTAAGAGAGCAGGCATTGCTTCATTTTCGTAGCTTTTATTCATAGCTACTGCAAAAACCCTAGCTCTCCTATACCAACTTTGATAGATGGCGCTCCAGTTGTATATTGGCTTCACATTATAAAGGGAAGATCTGCCCCTGTGCATAGTGGGCTGAGCAGTCAATGTCGTATTTCCCTTTTGCTCCCACTACTCAGGAAGCAACCAGCTTGGCCCCATCTATGGCCACACATCCGTGACATCAGGGAGCCTGCTGGATGATCACCACTGGCACTCTGTGCTCATTGAGCGCCAGGGACGCAGCATTAACCTGACCCTGGACAGGAGCATGCAGCATTTCCGCACCAATGGAGAGTTTGACTACCTGGACTTGGACTATGAGGTACACTTGAGAATGTGGGATTGTGATGGAGGAGGAGGGAATGCGTATTCTACTATTCCTTTTTCTTAATTACATATCAGTTAATTGTGTAGCTGCTCAAGCCTTTTCCCTTCCTTCTCTACAGAAAGGAGATATCTTTAAATCTAATTTATTTAACAGATTATATGTATAATTGTAATATACATAATATATATTTTAGTTGATAATTTTTTCTTTTGTTGAAAATAGCTTTTTTTCCCCTCACATAAAATATCCTGATTATGGTTTCCCCTACTTCCTCTACTCCTCCCAGTTCCACCCCTCATCCCTTCTAACCATCACTACTGGCAATGAATTATGACATCTATTACTCATGAGACTATGCAGTATGTCATATATGGAAGGTTCACTTGTGTTTTGTAGTATATAGAATAAAAATTTCTTCACTTCTATTTTATATTCATACCTATAGATAGGACTTTTAGTAAACTTTTCTCAGACAGTTGTCATAAAAATAAAATATAGAACATTTTAAAGAATTATCCATTAAGATTCATTTTAATTTCTAAATAACCAAGTATTTTTAAAATACTCTGGTCCAATTAAATTACTCAGAAAGTAAAGGCACCCTAAATTCAATCCTGTATTGAAAAAATTACACTGTATATAGTGAAAAAATAGATGGACTCTTAACAAGTTGTCCTCTAATCTCACCAAGCACAATGGAGCATGTGAGTGTACACACACACACACACACACACACACACACACACACACACACACAAATAAATAAATATAGAAAAGAGAAAAACAGATAACTTAAAAAACTCAAAGATCACCTTGATGCTTAATACACACACACACACACATATATATACATGTATATATGTGCATATGTTATAATTTTATAACATTCAAGTTGATATATTAGGTTTTAAGTAAATTATCAGAGTGGTTCAACACAGTACATCACATCTGTTACTAGTGAACAGGGGTAAAGCTTTTGCAGTGTTGTATGTAATTGGAGTGAGAAGAAAGCACTGCATGTTCTGGAGAAAACACCCAAGCAAGATCAAAAGCATGACATGTCAACAGATAGATGCTTCCCAACTTTCTTCATTCATGGAACTAGTCAAATTTTAATAATCTTCCAAAGTTTTTGGAGCATAGGTGGTTCAACTCACTTGAAATTTATATCCGACTAATTTGATAGCCATTTGCAAACCTCCCTACTTATAAATAACAGTGGGATGATGAACAAAACGATGGTACTTGAATATGTTTTCAGATTTGGCCTCTAATTTGATTCTGTCATTCTTTTTCTGGTCAATTTTTGTACTGTATATTTGGCTCCCAACCTCACCACACACAACAGAAAGTCATGAGACAGAACAGGGCAAGACCAAATATTGGATGATGATAAGAATTGTGATTCCTTCAAAGATTTAGTATACATTGGGACAACATCTGAGGTTGCTATGAATCTTTGTGTTCATTAAAATCTACATTTGAGAAAGCAGAAATCTACGTGCACATTGTGTGTTAGCCTCCAACTATATGTAAAATTTAATAATACAGAATATGCTCATCATAAAATTATTGGTGAGAAATCTGAATTGATAGCTACAAAATGTATTTATATGTCAATGAAGAAAATTAACATAAAAATATAAGCTTAATCATGAATTATTGATACCCCAAAATATCCATCTACAAATGATTGTTAAAAGAAGCTGTGAATTTTAGAGAACACGTGGGATACCTAATAGGGTTTGGAGGGAGGAAAGAGAAGGGAGAAGTGATATAATGATATTATAACCTCAAAACTAAAATAATTCTTTTAATAGTGAAAGAATATGAAAGTCCAAGAATTTCAAATCTCCTAAAAGTTAATACTGCATCTCTTGTGACTTACTGCTCTATTGTATTAGAGAACTTGCAGATGAATTATTCATCTTCCATTAATAAACTTTGAAGTATCACAGAATATGGAGACATCCTGAAGCATTAGCCATGGGCAAATATAATTCCAGTTTTCAAAAACCATAATTAAAGATTTGGGGTCACAGACCCCATTGAGTTTGTGATAAAATCTGTGCATATTCATGTGCATGCAGCACATTCTACATGAGGTCAACAGTTCTAGGATTTCACAGTGTGTCAAATCATTCTGTATACAACACAGTCTCAGTTTGGGGACTCTCAGCTATGGACTGGAATGAGTGGGACATATTTATCAGAAGAAATAATAGGGGAAATATAAATTCACTGAAAAAATGATGATGATTTAATTATTATTTCTCATTGATAAGCTACTATCTAGTAACATTCTTCTTGGGAACAGCAGCTATTGTCATGTGTCACAGTAAAAGTTGGTGTGTCTAATGCTGCATTTTATACTATGTAGTAAAGATACTTTATGTGTTATTTAAAGAAATCTGGGGCCCATTAAGAGCCAGTATCAGAACAGTTGCCCATGTCTCTTTGATTTATCAACAGAAGAAATAGATTCCTACCACACAAGCCAGTAAAATTAACTTCAACCCTAACATAACACATATTTTGTAAAACTCATATTGTAGTATTAAACTGTAGTATAAAGGATAAAAGAGCTTGTCTTCTCATGTTCACAAAGACTGTGTCCTGTTCCCCTCAAACTACTTGACTTCAGTTCTTGCAAAGTGGTCTGAGGCAAAGGGCATTGAGGCTTAGCAGGAATGTGCTGGAAGCTCTCAGAAGCTCTCACTGGACTGGAAAAGGAGGAATACACTGGTCTGATTCTTTAACTGTCATAGTGTAAATACCTCACCATGGGGAATTTCATGCTGTAAGTTGAATTGTACTGAGTAGGGGACTGCAAAAAGATGCCAACTGACACACCATTGCGCAACACAGTACACGCATCAGATAGGTGCTGTGTAAATAACCTGTAGAGCACATATAGTAAGTGTAGAGTTTAATTATGAGTAGATATTAACATTCTGTTGGAAGTAATTTAATTCAAACACTATCTTATTTGTGTTTTAATAGTGGTTCTGTTGAACACCAGTCCTGATGAGCCAGCTGGTACTAGCAGTATCCAACACAACAGTGCGAGGGGTAGACAGAATACACCTGCCTCCATTTCTAACAATGTACATCAGCAAAGAGACATGATGTACTACTTTGCACCTTTGACGTGATTCAATGTTGACATTACTATTGTGTGTGAAAGTGTCCCAAAGCTCTTCTCTGTAGTGTCATTATACGATAAAGTGGGGAGATCACTGTCAGCAGTCAAACTACTAACTACATGGTAGCGTGAGATTGAAGGAATATGTTTTGTTCTCCTCCAAGTCAAGGAAACTAAGAGACAGGGCAGTAATCCAAGGTTTGGCTAGATTTGATTCTGTTCTTCAGTTAAACGCCACTTACAGTACTTTGGATGAATGCCATGATTTTTTGCAATATATCTCTGCTTGTGAAAAAGGAAGTGACACTTATTGTCCCTTTTAAACCTATAAACACACTACAGTCATAGAGAAAATCAACCATATACCCTCCAGCAGAACTGGAAGCCTGGATTTGAATTCCTTTCTGACCCTCACTGGTTGTGTGAGATGAGTAATTCATATTCCCTTAATATAATAAGAAAATAAGATCATACTTCTTAGATTACATGATAAAACAACAAATATATATATATATATGTATATATATGTGTGTGTGTATGTGTGAATGTGTGCATATACATATACCATATATCAGTAAATAAATATATATATATATATACACATGTGTACAGAAGAAATTATGTTTATACATATGCTTATATAACAGATGCGTGTTTATCTCTTTCACATGGAAGGCATCCCATCTTTTGCACTTAGCTGTAGTTTCCAAAGCCATCCATTCCACTGTAGTCTTTCCTCTTGCATTGTTTTTTTATCCTGATGGCAAATTACTCCAAGAAGGACATCTGTATTCTCATGGTTATTATGAGCAGCAGGCAGGAAGATAGGTTTAAAGACTTCCTTATGATCTTGGAGTGACATACATCCTACCAATAAAATACTGTAAGAGCAAACTACTCCCACAGAGGTTGGTATATGCTGTATATGTTGATTTGAGGATGATAGAGCTAACTAGAGAGGATTATTACTCCATCCTAAAAAGGCTGTAGAGAAGTTACACTGGAGGTGTCTGCCAGCATCTGTTATACTATGTGACTTCTTCATACCCAATTAACTGGCTCATAAGGGTTAAAAGTGATAGTGATCTTACTAAGGCTACAGAAACTCCCAAATAGGATTTTTAACCTGAATATTGAAAAAGGGTTTTATCACCATAGCTTTAGGATACCTAAAAATGTGGTGCAATAATTACATGTAATCAATGGCAAGAAAGTCTATGGCAAGAAAACATAAACGGCAAACTAACATGTGATTGCTTCCATGGGGAACCGGTGTTAGACCCCACTTCTTTCAAGCACCCTCTAACCCTTGCTCTCAGTGCTTCAGGATGAAACTGCCCATGAACGCACATCTCTGGTTACTGAAAACAGAAGACATTTATGGATTTGAGTCATCATCCCAGTGGAAAAACAAAGCCCAGACTGTAGAAACCATGTGCACAGAGGAACAAATCTGTAACGTGATACAAGTATAAAAAAAAATATTCAGAATGTGATGCTGCCAACACCAAACAGATTTTGTGAGCCAGTGAGACAGTTTGGCAAGTAAAGGCCCTTGCTGCCAAGCCCGTGGAACATAGTTCAACCCTGGGACCCACATGATGGAAGGACAGAACCTATTCCACAAGTTGTCCTCTGACCTCCACTTATGTCTCATGGCATACACATATGTACACACACACACACACACACACACACACACACACACACACACACACACATTCATACAATACTACTACTAACAAATGTTAAAAACTCAAGATGGATTATTATGAATTCCTTAAAAGTAATGGGCAAAAAAACTGCACGTAACTACACAGCATTTTGTTTTAGCATTATGGTTACTGCTATCAGTATCAAGATAAAGTTCACAGTACCTAGCAAGGCCAGGGTCACTGTGACTTTCAAATATTTTCTCAATATTTCGACCATTTTTGGTTACTCTATATTTTTTTCTTTGTGGATTCCTAATACTATTCTATGTGTTTTAATTTATTTTTAACTTCTCCTTTCATGTATGAACTCATTGCAAGTGATGAATACTCAGCTGAACATGATTAATAATACTTAATTTTATTTTAAGTGGGGGATTCTTACAAACATTGTTTTGTAAACCACCATTAATTTGTCTTTTTCTCTAAAACTAATTAAGCATTTTAAATGCCATAGCACCTAATAATGGAACATAATTTACTCATGAGCCTCCTAGAATGTTGCACATCCTTGCCTTATGTCAAATATAAAGTCCTCACTTTTGAAAATGTCTCAACAGTTGCTTTCACATTATAAACTATAAGGGAAAATTGAAAATGATGACCCTATAAACGAAAAGTCTGCTTCATAGAAGTTGCTATTACAACCACAATTATGCATCACATTTATTTATTAATTCACTATTAGTGGTGAATATTCCTAACAATACTGATTAAGTATAATTTTGTATCATCTATATTATGGCTACAGATTTTGAAAGTTGTGAGACATACATGGGGTAAAAAAACATATCCCCTATAACAGGAATACCCAAAGGAACACATTAAGGAGGATTGTTTTATTTCCTTAAGGTCTGCAAAATCTATAAAATGTGTAAACCTTGAGAGCACAACTTACAGCCCCCGTGTCCCACAAAGTCCTAATCTATACACTAATGGTATTTTTCAGCCATTTTCTATACTCAAAATAATTTTAATGAACCTTTGACTTCAACAGTCATTAGACTTCACAAAGCCCACAGAGAGCAAATACAGTATTCCTTGCTTTAGGTTACATTTTATCAGCTTATTATATTAGTGCTGGTTGTTTTGAGATTACTAGAGGCATTTATTGGTAACATGTCTTTGAATGATAAATATGAATATATAGTTTTAATATTCCTTGATAAAATAAAGTTGCTAGATAAAATCATTTTAAAATACTCTCAAGACAATTTATAAAATGCCTTTGGTGTTTAAAAACTGCAAGGGAAGTTTGCTATGTTATTGGTCAAGTTATAATCTAATCATTGGAATTAATGATTCCATTATGCATTTCAGCAACAACATAGTGTAATGAGCAAACAATTTTGTAGGTGAGATATAATATTTGCTTATATTTGACTAAGATAAAGATGCCTAATGATTGTATTTATAACTGTGTATAGTTTGTTGTAAGAAAGTGTAAACATTTACATTTAATTTTTTTTCTCAAAGATAACATTTGGAGGCGTACCTTTCTCTGGCAAGCCAAGTTCCAGTAATAGGAAGAGCTTTAAGGGATGCATGGAAAGCATCAACTACAATGGTGTCAACATCACTGATCTTGCCCGGAGGAAAAAATTAGAGCCATCAAATGTGGTAAGAGTCAAAATATTGATTCATTTACAAAATTCATAAGACCTTTTTGGTTTTTGTTTTTTTTTATGGGGCATTAAATAACAACAAATATCTCTCCTTTTTCATCCTGTTTGGGTTCAGTTCAGCAGTGTAAAACAGATGTTACCTAACAATGTGTAGATACTTGACATACTCAGAATACACATTGACTTTGAGTCAAGCCAGCCTTTGTGCCCAATGGTTTGAAACTTTCATCTAAGACTCATAAGAAGGAGAACAGACTGATAAGAGTTGAGGGAAATTGGAGAGGATGAAGATGGTAAACAAAATGAATTATATGCATAAATGGACTGTTCTATAAATGAAGTATCAGAGTAATAGCTAAATAATAGATTCAATAAAAATAACTTTTGTTCCTTGGAGAAACGTGAGTGGGTCACAAATGCTCATGCTGGCCGGGCGGTGGTGGCGCACGCCTTTAATCCCAGCACTCGGGAGGCAGAGGCAGGCGGATCTCTGTGAGTTCGAGGCCAGCCTGGGCTACCAAGCGAGTTCCAGGAAAGGCGCAAAGCTACACAGAGAAACCCTGTCTCGAAAAACCAAAAAAAAAAAAAAAAATGCTCATGCTGAGATTCTTGTGGATCCTATGGAGACTGGTTTCAGATTTCTTGAAGAAGACCAGATTAGGAGGATGTCTTAGCAGCCTGTGTCTCTATGTACTCCTGGGTAGCTCCAAAGATAGTAACAAATGTTTTTCATGGAGATTCCCTATAGCTCTGCTTGCAGTTTCAGAGGCTTGGTCAAATATCATGATGGGGAGTCTGGTGGGAACATGGTGCTTAAGTATTAGCTGAGGGGTACATCTTGATCTGTAGGCAGAAGAAAGAGAGAGAGAGAGAGAGAGAGAGAGAGAGAGAGAGAGAGAGAGAGAGATGAGCCTGGTATGGGCTTTTAAAATCTCAAAGCCCATCCCCAGTGACACACTTCCTGTGACAAGGCTATACTTTCCAATTTTTCTGATCTTTTCAAACAGTCACACTCTCTGGTAACTGACCCATTCAAATATATGAGCCTTTGGGGGCCAATCTTATTCAAACCACCAAACACATATATTATATACTATATGTAATTGCTGACCAATATATGTAATGTAATATTTACACAAGTATATACATACCCCACATTCTGTGAACACATATAAACATGTAGACCATGTAGTAACACACATGTACTATTCACACACACACACATATATGCCACATACAATAACACACAAGGACGTGCACATAATACATACATATAAACACATGCACTAACATAGCAATTAATAAACACACAAGCACACATACTCCATATTCTTCCCACAAAACAATATACTATATGCTCATATACCACATACTATGATTGTATACAAACACACACAAACATATATCCACATATGCTTACACAAACATACACTACACCTACACACACACACACACACACACTCTTGTTAAGCTTTTAAGATTTAGAATGGATATAATGTCACAGAGGTCCTTTCACTGTTCTCAAAAATCGATGCTTTAGGGAAACAATATAGAATGTAAAGCATCAAAATAACATTTCTATTATTTACATTTTAAAAAGTAACATTTTAGTTCAATGTTGGTCCTGAGATATATCCGTTTGGTACTCAAACTACAGAACACCAACCATGAGGGCTCATTACTTAGTCAACTGTAACTACAAAGCATGTTAAAAGTAGAAAAGCCTTTAAATGCCAAAATATTTTATAAAGTATAAGGCACCTACAAGTATATTTTATTTTAACAAATTATTTGTTGGCAACCACAGAATAATTTTTGTAGCAAAATCTGCACACACACTGAAAACATTAGGAAAAAAATCATGAAATAGAGCATTTCATTGCCATCCCTACAAAGTTAACATTTTAAAAGAAATTTGCTCAAAGACATTATTAGCTGTTATTTCAGTGAAATTCTCTCACCTCCCTGAAGACTCCCTGTATTCTCACACCCATACCCTCCTGGTGTGTGTGTGTGTGTGTGTGTGTGTGTGTGTGTGTGTGTGTGTGTGTGTATTTGAAGGAAGTAATAATGTCATCAAAATCCTTAACATATGATGATAAGATGAAAGAAGACCATTGTGTCGTCTCCGCATCACAGCAGGCTACTAAGCCATCGGTCTCTTGACTGGTGTGCTGTGCTCTGAGCTAGAAAACCAGCTACTGCTTATTGGGTCTAACACTCCAGGAAGTTCTTTCAAAATCCATGCACCCACAAAATTAGGCAGAGATGCTATCCCTTTAGTTTGGTACAGGATCTGTCACTTCTTGGATATTTGTAGAACCATCTCTTTATCAGTAGTTTCACATAGATTTTTTTTTGCTTGTAGGGGAATCTGAGTTTCTCTTGTGTGGAGCCCTACACAGTACCAGTCTTCTTCAATGCTACAAGCTACCTGGAGGTGCCTGGCAGACTTAATCAGGACCTGTTCTCAGTCAGTTTCCAGTTCAGGACTTGGAACCCCAGTGGTCTCCTGCTCTTCAGTCACTTTGCAGATAACTTAGGCAATGTGGAGATTGACCTTGTGGAGAGCAAAGTGGGCGTCCACATCAACACCACACAGATCAAGACAAGCCAAATCGACATCTCCTCAGGTCAGTGGCATCTGCTTGACTTTTGCTTCTGAAACTTCTATTGGCAGTCCCAAAGTAGAGGCTGTTTGCTCTCCCCCGCTTCTCTCTTTCTTTAATCTCTTTACTCTTTTTATTGGCACTACAGTCTCATGATTATACTTTCCATTTGGAATTTTAAAACTCTTCATTGCACTATATTATGCTTAAGAGAAATGCAGAGTTTAGGCTGTGGGCAAGGAAGAAAACTGGTTGACTTTGAATTATGCCATGTGAATTTTCTAATTCTTCTAGATGCTATATCATATTTAGTGGAGAAATAGCTGTTTCTCATCATGCATATTTTATATGTAAAACAAATAATGTTTGTAGTGACATGACAGAATTTGATTTATTTTTACCTCAAAAGCATTCAAATAGCTTTTACTAGTAGTTATAAGATTATATTAATTTAATTATCAGTTTAAAATAATGGTTAACTGCCTCAATCTCCTAGACATTTGCCAATTGTTAGGAAAAAAGTAAGCAAGTGGTAAATACAAGACAGAATAGCAAAGTACATATGTCAACTGAGGGAAGATGTACTTGGCATTGTTTTAAAAGGGCATTGTTATGATGTCATAAGATGAAGTTTAGGATACACAGTAAATTGAGATTTATCAGTCCTGGAATATTCTTAGATTGATATGGCATTAGGAAAGATGACACTGAAAAGTATGATGTTATTAACCAAGAAAAACTAGGTGCAAGTTGGAATAGTGATGATAACATTTTTAACCAAGTTTCTCTAGTTATTCCTTGAAATAGGATCAATAGTTACATGTTACTGTGGTATACTCTTAGTCAGATATTCTGCTGAAAGAGCCTATATCCTCATACAATGGGCTCTGTGCATCTGGGATGTCAAGCTCTGCGGACTTCACCTGTTCATCTGATAATTGTTCTAAAAAGCTGCTTGTGGATTATCTAAATGCCAAGATACCCCTTTCCTGTGCTCTGATTTTGTATTATTATTTTTAATTTTTCCTGCACATTCAGTTAAAATGATTAATCAACCAATTTTTTAAATCATTTTCTTCTTTGGTAAGCTCTGCCAGGGAGATTCAGAGTAAACAAGAAATGTCTAGAGGCCCAGAATAAGATAAAACAAATATACATAAATGATTTATACAGTTGAAAAACAATCTACTGCCAGGATTAAAGGCTCTTTTTTAATGGCTAAACACATAAAAGCGTTAGCATGTAGTCCTTCCCCTTGGCACTATGTAAGAAAACTAACTTGCCCATGTGTTTCCATGTAACCAAGTCATTGTGACTAAAATAATAATAATAATAATAATAATAATAATAATAATAATAATCTTCAATGCAGTAATTACTAAGCTTGTTCATATGATTTGGTGTAACTTGGGTCTCTAAGACACTAACTAACTTAAGCAATGTTAAAAAACAAAGACTTAACAAAAGAATTAAGTTTAAACAGTGTGTAAATAAGTATTCATCCACAGAACAATAACTGATTTTTTTTGTAAATTCAGGCAATTAACCTTAATAGTTTTTCTTAAAGATAGAAAAATGAATGTTAGAGTCATTGAAATTTAGCCACAAAGTGTGTAGCTTGCAGGAAACTGATATGATATCTGAATATTTTAAAGCCTTACTCTCATCTCAATGGAATATTTCAAATATGTACTTTTACCTATGCATATATTAAGAATGAAGGCCATATTGTTATTACACACATTTTAGAAAGCAAGTATCTGTAAACAGAAAAATAGCCATTAAAAATACATTGCATCCAGCTAATGGTAAAATGCTTGCCATGAAAGCATGAAGAACTGAGATTAGATTAGATTCCAAGAACTCATACAAAAGCTAGGTTTGATGGTGGGCCCTTAATGATAGTGCTGGGGGGACAGAACAAGAGGATCCCTAAGGCTGGCTGGCCAACCATTGTGGCCAACTGGCAAGATTCTGGTACGGTGGAAGATTTTTTCTCAAAATACTAGATGGGGAACAATCAAAGAACACACTTGACATTCACCTATGAACTCCATGTACATATACATGGCTGTGACCACTCACATACAGACTCACACACAAGAATACATACACACATAAAAACACACATTCAAAATCAAAAGAAAATACTTTTAAAATTTAAAATGTTCAATTTTGTTTTTTCAGATCAGTTTCATAGAATACAATTCATCAAATCTTACCAAATTCAATTAAGTACACAAATTACTGGCTGTATGCAGGAACACTGAGAAGAGAGCCCAAAGCCCTGTTGTTTGGTTTAACAAAGGTACTATACATGTATCACATTATTTCTACTATTAACAGCATGAGATTGAAAAAAATATCAATTCACTGTGCTTCGTTTTCAAAATACCCTTGGTTGCAAACAGTTTTTAAATACAAGAAATCTATAAGAGAAAAATACCTACCAATAGCATTTTGTTGGACACATACAGAGCAGGGCACTGAAAGGTCAATTCAGAGTTTTTCAGATATTGCTTTATGCTTGTAACTTCTTTCTGATTTTAGTTAATATATTCTATTTTCAGGGTGAAGGTAACCAGTTGATTCAAACCCTTTTTGTTCTGTCTTTTACAATACAGCTCTAGAGTATTGATTTAAAGTGATTCTTACAGCGAAGAGGATAATCTATATGGCTCACATTCTTCTTGCACCTTTTCCTCCAAGTCGTGATGACTCTTCTTTGTTCATGGTAGTCCTTGGCAAAACACTCAATATGTAAATTTAGGCAAACTCTGAGTGACCTCAAATTTTCAGATTGAGTTATCTTTCCATGGATACATTGTCTAAGTTTCAAAGTCAATTTTAGAAAATATGTCCACTATATTTCTTTAAAAATATACATAGTATTCACTGACATGTGGATGCATATTTGTGCTATAATTTTAGGAACAAATGGTAAGAATGGGGGAGGGGATCTGCTAAAAAAATGCCTATGGGACAACATCTGTTCTCTGTGGGGAATCTTTTAATTTTGCCTTTCATATTCAGAGCTCTAGATTAGTTGGACCCAATGATTTGTGTGTTCCAAATGGTTTGGGTCAAAGCATAGTAATAAAGTATCTTATGTCACATACAATATCTACTGATGCAATATTTTATGAAATGAAATTAATCTTGATATTTCAAATATGCTATAATTATTTTTGACACTTCTTTTCTTTTCATTTTCCCATTAAAATAATTTCCATGACCCACTACAATGATTACATTCCCTTAGTACACTTAGAACACAGACCTACACATCTGTCACATAATTGGAAGAGTTGGAATGTTTAAATGCTTGAAGTCTCTACATTTTTTAATATTTTTTTTATTTTTGGACAGTTAGATGTATTGCCTAGGCATAGTACTAAAAATTTATATGGATAGCAAAAAATAAAATGAAATGAAAAACTACTAATATAGTCTTTTAGACTTAGCAACCATCTGAAATAAGTTTTTTTTTTTTAATTCAAAATACCTCAGTGTTATGAAACCAAATGTGAACAAATTCTTAGAATAATAAGAAATCAGCTGTGGTGTCCTATATTAATAAAGTCATAAAATATGATTTGCCAGACCTTGTATATAAAGTATGATTTCTGTTAATGACTTCTCTTACCTATTATTTTTAAAAATGTTAATCCCTATGCATGAGTAAAGGAAGTCTCTCAGAAAAGTCATTCTGCATATTCTCTGATCTAGGCCAGCTGTTTGGTTGAGCCCCAGTGTGCAAGGTTCCTTGCTCTGTTCATGTAGATTTTTGCTTCAATTACAGAATGATAGTTCAGAATCGAAACTGCTTCAGAAATCTGAGTTCTGCAAGCATCACCTTTGTTTGTATTTCATTCTCCTGAGAACACCTTTTGTGGCCCTGTTTCATTTACTTGTCTTTCTCAGTAAAATTTCTTTGGAAGCCTTTGAGTTCCATCTGGGTACATTGTAGACAGAATGGAGGGTTTATTCCTTTGGTGTGTGCCTGAGAGCAGCTGAGGAGTGCTGACAAGCTCCCGGTGCAATCTGAGAATGTGCATTGGCTGGGGACCAATCATGGCACAATCAAGCAGTGAGACATCCTTTCCTTCATTTTTGTGAACGTTTTAAGAGGTAGCCAACCCATTAGAATTTCTTTCTACATTAAAGATTAGTTTCCAACGTTCAGGTGTCTCTCATAAAATAGTTTTTCTGTTTAATTTTTTTTTACTGTGAATGGATTTTCAGTCCTGTGACTTCAAGCTTCACCATTCCCTAAGAAAATTTTAACACCTAAAAAAATTAAAATAGTAGGGCCAGTGAGATTGCTCAGAGGTATAGCACCTGCTGCCGATCCTGGCAACCTCATATAGTGGAGGAAAAGAACAGAATCCTACAATTTGTCCTCTAACTTCCATATGCATACCATTGCATGTATGTGTACATTTATACACACATAAGTAAATAAAATATGATTCAAAAATAATGTAGAGGGAGAATTAGTCTTTCTCAAGGATAAGCTACCTAATGGGTTATGCAGTACCAAGTTGTCAGCCCTAAAATCATGTAGATGCAACAATACTAAAAGGATTCACCAGAGTATGTTTATATATTTATTGTGTATATGACAATAATAAAGAAGAAAAGACCATGAATTTAAGGGGGGCATGGGTAGAGTTGGAGCAAGGAAAGGGAAATGGGAAGAAATGTAATTATATTTTAATTAAAAATTTAAAACTGTAATAAATAAACTTTAAATGTAACACTAGTAAGTATTTCACACATTTCAAATGATTTATATGAGAGTGTTTTATATCAAAGTGAATGGGAAATTAATAACTCATACTTTGTTACATAATTCAACATTAAACCATAGTTACTAAATGTTTTAAAAATATGACTTCTAAAGCCAAACATGGTGGCACATGCTTGTAATGTCAGTCAAAAGTATCACAAATTTGAGACCAGCATGAGCTACATAGAGAGATCCAGGCCAGGTGAAGGTTAATGCATGGCACACTGTGCTG